TATTTTTGTGTTATTCTTTAGATAATTCTGTACACTACAAAGATATTGTAATTAGCAATATAGAACATTACAATATGTAAACACTAAATGTATCAATAAGAGTGATAAAAATAGGATGGATAAAGAGTATAGGTGAAATGCTGATTTTAATATACCACAGTAAGCTACCTACATAACATTCAGAACCCAAAAAGCCATCTGTAATACTGATCCTGAATGCTAAGAAGCACAGAAGTCATTCCTTGAGTGAAAATTTTCACAAAGAATGAAACATTGCAGTGACTTACACTGACTATTCATTCCTCTTATGGAGTGTGTAGTCACTTCACATTTTCAATGCATGTTATTGCTTTTATAAATGTATGATCATTGCTGTAAAGGCACACCACTGATGAAGGGACAGACTCACTTGTATGGTGCCAAAAGGACACAACTTTATTTAGTCTGGCCATTGTTACAGGATAGACATTGGGATAGTCCTTGCCAAATCCAGCCAATCTAATGGTTTCTCAGTTTGCACACACATCTCAAGACCCAGGCACTACGGCCCAAAGATTTGAACACAGTGCCCCAACTAATAGGCTTAAATTTTAGCTTGCCTCTGTGATAACAGGATTATACTAATCTTTGTGATTTATAGCAGCCACATTAGGCTAACAAGCAGTTTAACCGGGCAACCAGGGTTTGATGCAGCCTTATGCTTCTTTTGTTATTGCATGCAGGCGCCATGTAAGTATCCCATAGGAGGGTTCATATAAATTTCCCTGGTAGTGCCATCACTCATTGGCTTTGTTATGCATCCTTCTATGCATTTCCCACATCATCTCAATGAGTAATATCTAGTTCAAAGGATCTAAAATAAAAATGAACCAAGCCTACACAAATTAACTTCTCCAAATTCTGGGAAAGCAAAAAGCCAAGATATGAGCTTTGCTTGTCAGGCCTTTCCCTAGCCCACAACTATGCCAAAGGTGGAACCTACAAGTGGAATGACTCTAATCATTTTTATGCACTCATGTCAGTTGGGTATCTGCACAACTGTTTTGGTGGCCTCAAGTAGTGCTTGCAATAGAGCCATGGGAGTTGGAAGATCTGTGTTCTTGTCCTTGCTTCATCAATGTAATGCTGTGTGAAGGCCAGAGCTCCAAATACTCAGCACCATCAATGAGAACAATATTTTCAGAAGAGCTGTTCTCCCATTTAGGCACCTAAAATCTTCCTCTTTCTTAACCTTAATAATCAACACTCCTAACATCATGCTTCTGACCAAATTTTCAGAAAATGTATCATCTAGTGTATTGAATTTTTTAAATGAAAATCTTGCCTCTGATTTGCTGTCTAAATGAAAGCCATGCTCCTTTTAAAAACGTGTCCAAATTGTGGAAGCTGACAGAGCTCTTCTAAATATCTAACCTTTAATCTTTTGCTTTTGTATCTCCAGCTGTAAAACAGCGATGTTACTGTGTATTTTAGTACAATAATTTAAGAATCTGGGTTACAAAGTCTGTAGAAATCATGTATTAATAACTAAATTTTCCAATTTTGTTCATCACAGCTCAAATAGGCACTCTGACTGAAATCATGGCTCCAGTGGCCATCCTCCTACTTCAATTAGGCTGGGATTTCACCTTCAAGCGTATTTGATTGCTGTAAAAGTATCTTGATATCAATTCAGACAGTTGCCAATTGCAGCTTGGGGCATTCTGCAACAGTACAGCATTATTTGCTGTCAACTATTTTAAGTAAAGTTATTTCCTGACTAATCTTGAGTTGCATTCCATGCAATAAAAAACCCACAACTTTTTAATCAAAGCACAAGAATTATGGCTCTATTTAAAATTCCTGAAGAGCAAAATCTAGCAGCACTATTCATTTCCATTTGCAGTAGTTTCTCGTGAATTCTCAGTACCAGTTTGAGTTTTGACAGGAATAAAATGGTATTGGGGTAACACATGACATTTTGAATAATATTATTAAGGACGTGTCACACATTTCAAATAAAAATTGGGACTTGGAACAAATATTTTAACAAATACCTGGCTTGGGGAAAAAGTCTTTATATATAGTTTTAGTATCTAGAGAAGCAATTGAGTGTCCCATTTAGGTAATTTTTAATTTCAGATTGAAGAATCACTATCTTTTTTCAGTTTTAAAGTGGAACACACTCCATCTAACAGAAAATATCAGCAGTGTTTTGGAAGATGCCTCTGAAGGTGTTTTGGAAATTTTCATTTTTACTCTTTTACACCTGCAAATAATATAAACTATTTATTCAGTTTAGATATTTAATGGTTTACCAACACAAATTTCCATTTCCACGTGTAAAACATGTAAAACTGCATGTGCAAGTATGAAGGTAGTTTTTGAAATAATAGTCTTTTGTTTCTAAATTTAATTGATTCACAGATTTTAAGGCCAGAAGGGATCAAGGAACCATTATGATTATGTAGTCTGACCAGTTTCTATGCCAAGTAGGAGGTTCTTATTGCATCATGACAAAGAAGCTTATATTTGGAAGGCTACAGGGTCTTCCCTCTTCCTGTTTCCTCTCCAAGTCTTGACAGCAATTCAATCCTGTGTCTTTTTACTTCTTTTCCTTTGCTACCCTCTATCTCCATCTGCAGGAAAGTTCATTCTGTGAGGATGTGGAAAACTGTTTCCCATTTTCAGCAGCAATGTTTCCTACCTCAGTTTGAGATGGGATATATATTCTATTTACAAGTCCCATCAAATTTTGGTAGGATAATGCATTCTTCACCTTCTTTCCTGAAATGTTAGGTGATGTTGATGTACACTGTTAAATAGTGGCACATTTTACCCTTGAGTGAGCTGCATTTCACAAGCAATTAAATTCAAATAAAAGATTAATTGTTTGGAAAATGTTTAAAGATAGTTTTTATTGTACGTTTCTTTCTAAATATAAGACCTAATTCTTACTTTGTATGTGGTCAACAAAGTGTCTGCTTCTGAACATGCTAATTATATCCAGCAAAATTGCCCTAAAAAAGCTATTGAATATATGTGGTATGTCAGTAGCTGCACATTCTCGCGCGCGCGTGTGTGTGTGTGTGTGTAGATTTTCTTCATTGTATGGACATTGCAGATGTTCGTCCAATGAAGGCATTAACAGAACACACTAATTAACAGGGCTTGACAAACCGCTGTTTCTACTCGCCCGTAGCTAGTAGATTTCAGCCGGTCGCTCCGTGTGCCCCATTCACCAACACTGCGCGCATGCGCAGTGTCGGTCTAGCACATGCACGGTGTGGGGCTGGCGAGTAGCTATCACCACAGTTTGTTGAACCCTGCTAATTAAAATGTGGTGGCCCAAGTGTTTTGGAAATTGCAATACATTAGGAAATTAATAGTGTTTAACAGTCATGGCCAAGTCTACACTAGGAAAGTCTTTCAAAATTATTAAATTCAGCTTAATAACTCCTGATGTAACACATTCGAACTAATGTGTGTACACCATGGAAAAGCCTCAAAATTAGTCCAAGGCAGTCTCTGTTAATGTGGACACACTACCTCAGACTTGGAGCCCCAGGAAGCACTGGGGAATAATTAGTCTGAATTACTCTGGGGAGTAATTATTTCAAAATAGTGGCACCAAAGTGTCCACGATGCCATTATTTTGAAATACCTATTTTGGAATTAGCGTTATTCCTGATGAAAAGTAGGAGCACAGATTTTGCATTTCATGGTCTGTTATTTTGAAATAATGGGCTTGGTAGTATGGACACTCCACTTAAAAATTAGACTTTGGGGGGTTATTTTGAAATCCTAGTGTCATAAAATCTACACTTCCATTTGTATGATTGTGGTATGGTGGGTCAGGTGTTTTGTGTACTGAATTGGTAAATAAACAATGATTATTGAGAATGTGACTGCAATATGATTAAAGGCTATTTCTTACTCTTCATTTTCTTCATTTTAATATTTAGCACATTTTGAGAAAGGACAGAACACACACATATATTAACATAAAGCAACAATGAAAACTGAGGGGAAAATGTGAAAATTTCTCATTTGAAGATTCTTAAATATTACAGTGAGAGGTACCTTAATACAGATTAAATAATATGTTAAATTAAATAGACATAACAAAGATATAAAGCTAGTTTTTTAGATCTAGTCATCTCCTTCACTGCATAATGTACCATATAGGTAGGTTAACATTTTGGGAATTATGCTGTTGTAGTAGTCTATTGTCAGAAAAGAATAACAGAGCAGAACAGTGTCGTTGCTCATTTAGCATTTTGGGTGCCTTTGTCTGTCTATAAGATGGAAATAGCAATTAACTACTTTCACTGGTAAGGAATAATTAATATTTGTTAAGCAATTTAAGATCTGCAGGTAAAGTCTTTAAATCATGATTTGAGGACTTCAGTAACTCAGCCAGAGGTTATGTGTTTGTTACAGGAATGTGCAGGAGATCAGAATAGATGATCATGATGGACCCTTCTGGTGCTAAAGTCTTTGAGTCTGTGAAAGGCACAAAATAATGACTTTGGGTGTGTCTAGACTACTGAGTTTTGTCGACAAAAGTGGACTTTTGTCGACAAAACTATACCAGCGTCTACACTACTGCTGAGTTCTGTCGACAGAACGTCGACAGAACTCAGCAGTTTTGTCGACGCTGGTATACCTCATTTTACGAGGCATAACACCTTCTGTCGACAGAGTTCTGTCGACAGAAGGTGTTATTGCCTGAAGGGTTGCGTCTAGACTACAGGGTTCTGTCGACAAAGCAGCTTGCTTTGTCGACAGAACTCAATGTGTCTGGATGCTCTTTGTCGACAAAACACGGTAGTCTAGATGTACCCATAGTGTCAAACATTGACGCTATATGGGAAATAGTGTTGTGGTTTTATATGATGAATTAAATCCAAGAAAATCACAGTGTTGCTTGCTTCTCTTTAGTTTGCTTGGATGAAAGAAATCTCATGTTGTATTACCTGAATTTAATAACCCAAATAATCTGTCATTTTTATCTCCAGATTTTCCACATGACATATGATCTGGCCAGTGCTGTGGTGAGAATCTTTAATCTAATTGGAATGATGCTACTGCTTTGCCACTGGGATGGTTGTCTTCAGTTCTTAGTACCTTTACTTCAGGATTTCCCACCAGATTGCTGGGTGTCCCTAAATGGTATGGTTGTAAGTATTGTTCATTTTTCATTGTGTTTTTCAAACATTCTAAGTTATCTGTGAACTGCTAGTTTAAATTTGTAATGAAAAAGTATATAGTAATTACATTGCACTACAAGTTAACATGTAACCTTGCCTCTTTCTTTTTTTGGTTGACTAACTACATACTTCCTTGTAACCTGAGCTACCTAATCACAGCTAAAACTAGTTGTTTTCCATGACTGACCTAAATCATATGATATTTTGGTTTTAAGATAATTTTCTATCAATCACCTCTTTCTCAAGAAACAACCTAGAATAATATAGGATAAGATTTATTATTAACTTTAAAAAAGGATAATAGATAGGGCTGGCCAGAAAACTTTTCCAAATTTCACAAACATATGAAACTTTGGTTTTGTTCCCATGCGACAAAAGAGAAGGTTAGAAACAGCATGTCTAATTCTGAGCTAAGACTTGATTCTGGGTTTTCTATAGGGATGTAAAATATTAACTGGTTAACTGGTAACCCTTAATGGTGATCACCTTTCCTTCTCCCCTGAATCAATTAATTAGTTTAACATTATGTTTTACCAGTTAACCAATTAAGTGGGATTTTACATCCCTAGTGTTCTACTGACCTTAGATGTGGGAGACTCAAGCTCAGATTTCTGCTTTGAATTAAGCATAGCAGGCATAGGATCTCTGACATCCCATCTAAGTGTCCAACCAACCAGATGTTCTAGGTTCTTCCATTCTATTTTTCACTGACCAGAAATGGCAACTTTGGCCTGAGAAATCTTAACTACCAACATTTTGTCAAAAAAAAATACATTTTTCAACAGGAAAAAGTTTTGGATTTTTTTCCACCAGGTTGATTCAAAAGGCATTTTATCTATGTGTTGTTAGTCCAATTTTGCCTTCAGTTACATGATTGCAACATCCTGTGAGCCAAATCCTGAAGTTGTTGCCCAGCTTCTTCCAAACATTTACTTAGGCCAAATGTCCATGGGAATTTTTCCAAACAATGAGGTAAAATTTGGGGGGGGGAGGGGGCGAGGGAGAGAGAGAGAGAGACTAGTTCAAGAGCAGAATTTGGCTGCATTTGTATAACTTCTCATCTGTTGTGAGAAAAATGGAACCACCGAGCTTTGGCAACTATCTTGAAGGCTGGCAGCTTCAAAGAGCAAGGTGGTATTGTATTGAAGACTTCAGATGATGAAGAATAGTTGATACAAAAGGGAATTTGTTAAAAAGATAGTAAAATGAAATATTTCCACCGTGTACTATATTCCACCATTAGGCCGCCTTATTATATGGGATAACATAATACTGTGTATATGGAAGAAAATGTGATGAAGAAAAAAATAAAAGGAAAAATTAACCCCCTCCCCATTTAGAAACAGATAAGCCAAACATCACAGAAACTAGGGACATTATCAAGTGACTAAAAGAACAATTTTTGGCAATATCTGTATCAGGTTGTTATGGTACAGGCAACAGCAAGGAAGTTTTAAGCAAGGAATCTCTGTTAGGATTTAAACCAAAGAGCCTCTGATCTAAAAGCAGCAACTCTATTACCAATACTTAATGCAAAAAAAAAAAAACCCCACCTTTTGTTGTCAGCAGTGGCAGCACTTATATCATGTTTCATACTTTTTGTTAAAATACATCATTACAGGCAATCACAATAACAGTGAGTAATACTTGGCCTTATTTTCAACTAACAAAAGCCATGCACATTTGAAATGGGGCTGTTCTGAGACTGTTTTCAAGCTCATCTGTTCCCTGATTTAAACATTATATGCATTTAAACGGCTTTCGTGAATCACCCCATGTACTGAGCACTTTCTTCTATAAAAGGCAGAGAAAGACAGAACAGACAGGTAGACAATTGTGTAGGCATGAATATTTGTCTCATTCAGCAGCAGAAGTTGGTCCAATAAAAGATAGTATCTCACCTAATTTGTTGGACGCTACATGGGATCATCATGTCTACAACAACAACCTGTCCTATCAAAAGAAACCCTGTCATTTCTAGAATTTAAGAGCTACAGGAGACATTCTTAATCAAAGAAAAATATTTCATACAGGTATATTTGTGTTTGTATGAAGTATCCAAAGGGCCAAATCATCATTTTTCAAATCAGATAAATAATTTTTGACAGTCTTTTACTTAATGGTAAGTACAATTTTGGACCGCAAAAATAAATTGCAGTAATAAAGGATGGAAACAATTTTGCTGAATAAAAGAATGGCAACAAAATATTTACAAAATTCCTGTAAGAAGTAGAGAGGTTAAAATGTGTTTAATCAGGTAAACATGTAACTACTGAGAATTTCAGTGGTTACATGGTTACTATACAAAAGGCTGGGGGACAAGTGGCTCCCTAGGAGCCCATTGTGTGAAGGGAGCTGGCTTTTAAGGTACAGGACTGCTCAACTCAAAATTGCAGTGTCATAATAACTTGTCATGAACTGGAAAAAAAATCCAAGAATAACACAACTACTATTGTCAGAAAGGGAATGCATTAAATAACCATTTCTGTTTTGCCAATATCAGGTCCCGGTTCTTCAAAATTGACTCATGTTAAGCCAGATCTAACACATATTGGAATCAATAGATTGATTCCCATCTTCATCAAAGGGCATGGGATCAGGTCAATTATGTGAATAATATGTATGTGCTTCACAATGTCCTAAAATTACATTTACTCGAAAGATTCTTTATTACCACTCAGTCCTTAAAGTTGGCTTGAATTATGTGTATGCCCATTTTAAGAGTAGCAGTGTGTTGCAAAGAGTCCTTACTGTCAATGAGAATCAGATCCAGCATGACTGGGACCAAAGGATGGGAAATGCTGAGCTATTGGCTGTTTCAAAATTTAGGTGAAGCATTTTTCTGATCACACACTTTTGTTCATAGTTGGGAGATAGGAGATGAAGTCAGTGATAATGAAAGAATGAACAATAACACATTTGCAGGTTAATAGGCACGAAGAGTCCTGTAGCATGGCTGCTGGCTACGTGCAATGTTTGATGAACTCCCATTTTTAGCATGGACTAGTCTCTCTTAAGTCAGATTTGGATATAGGTGATATTTTTAGATGCGAAACAATCCAGAATTGTTGGCTTCCCAGCTTTTTGGAACAGAGCAATTGCCATTTTGAACTCAGTCCTGGGCTTAAGCCAATTTTTAAGGACAAGCACAGATATTACTCCACCTCTCCCTTTTATGGGGTTTCTTGCACCTCCATCTGAATTATCTGGCCACTATCAAATGCAGAACCCTGGACTAGATGTAACAAAGGTATAATTTGGTATGTCAGTTTGTTTGTTCTTATCTTTGTTTACGATGAAGGTGTTATTCTTACTCAAACAAATATTTCCACATTTAATTTTAGCTATTTGTCTCAAAAATATTTCCTTAACCTCCTTGATAGCACTTGGAGAATGGTCACAGTTGTCTGGGAGAGAGACCACATCACTTCACTACAAGACCTTTGGAAGAGCACAGTTCTGGAGAGAATTAACACTGGGGCTTCCACTACTTAGCAAAGTAGAGTAGTCAAAAACCTCAGAGCCTAGGCCCTCAGGCAGAGCAGAGCACTAAACAGAGAATTCTGGACTGCAGTCATGGTAGAGCAGTAATGAGACTAGGCACCCAGGCTCTCTGACAGGATCAGAGAGAATCCATTCACCAAGTGCATGCCACTTCCCTTGCAGCTCCTGCCACCACAGGGAGTTTGGGGTAGGGGAGTGAAGGGGAAGAGAGGGCGCCGCTGCTGCTGTGCTGTACCAAGCCCCCCAGGAATCCCAGAAGCCATGTCCTCTGGGATGGGGTGCCATGGTGCAGGAGAGTGAAGCGATGGTGGGAAGGGGTGGGACTTGGGGACTAGTAATGTGCTTAAAGTAACCACCACCCCAGCCTGCCAGGAGTCCTGGGACAAATTGCACAATCACTCCGGATGGAGATGACCTGTGGGCCAGAAGTTTGAGACCCCTTCTCTAGACATTTTGTCATACAATTAGTATTACGCTGAAACCAAAGCAGCAATAAAATAAATGTTCAAAAGAAATCTGCCAGCCTTCTACCTGCGAAAAAGCATTCGTTCTACCCTTCCTCCTTCCGGAGACTATACCATATCAAACAAAGGTTTTTGTAGCCTGCTTAGTCCCAAATCAGTTTGATCAAATATATATTATTGCAGAAGTACAATATTTGTTGTTTTTGTGATAGGAATATTATACAGATTATTATTGTAAGAGTCTTTCACCTTAAGACAAATGTTTGCAGCTATCAAGTAATATCTTTAATGATAATCCGCACATTTGCTGACATTGCCTTTAGCAGCTTTCCTGACAAAATAGTGACATATCTTCAAATATGTAATTACTATAGTAAAAATAGGTCATCAGGATGCTGACGTGCATGTCTTTGCATTCTATATTCTGCTTGGTAACATCTTTTCCACATTTTCTACTTGTCTGCCAAAAAGGTAGCAGAGTGTATAGTGCGTGGGGGGAGGGGGATGGGAGGGAAGGGGGTGTTGTTTTAATGCTCACTTTTTTAACAATCAGCTAGCGAGAGGAAAAGAAAATATACCTTGTGCCATTCTTGCTTAAAGTGGGATGGGGTAACATATAATAACTAAGGCTTTTGACTTGAATCCATCCCTATTTCTTAGGTTGTAAAACAGAAAAGAGATTCCCCGTAGCCACACTTTTCTCAGAGGGCCATACACTCCCACTGGTATACACTCAACTCTGTAGTAAGCCAGTATTCCATCTGGTTGAAGAGAAACAGACACAACAAACTTGCTATGTATTGCTATGTAGTCAGCTGGTGTTATCGCTTCTGAAGGAAACATTTGGACAGGCTGAAGAATATTGTCTTTCTTCAAAAAATTCTCTACCCTAATACTATATAGCTTCCTATACCATGCTCATCCCTGTAGTATCTGCATGCCTTCCAATAGTGGCTAATGTCAGTCATGTGGTTTTTGTTCACTTGTGATATCCCCAGAGGG